AAACAGAAAAGGAAAATATGAAACATATTAACACGAAAGAACACCAAAAGTTAGTAGAAGCCCGTTATGATGCTAATCCTGAGTTTTGGGATAAAGTATATCAGAAGAACAAGAAGAAGATTGAGCAAATGAAAAAATCTAAATAATATTATATGACTGATTTCCACTCGGAGTATTCCACTTGTATGGAACTAACAAAGCAAAAAAGTAAAGAAGTATCAGAAACTGATATTTTACTAAAGGCGATGAAAGACTTACTTCGCAAATTAGAAGAGGAAGAAAAGAAAGTAGAAGCATTGAAAAAGAAGAAAGATAAATGCAATTGCTTTAGATTTACTGACCTACATTGTTGTAGTTGTAGTTCCAGTTTATTTTAATGATAATTAATAATATTTTTGTTATATTATTAATCATCTCTTGAATTTACATAATCTACATGTTTCTTTGTTCGTTCGTGTCGCGTTTTATTGGCATAAGTGTAAGTATCTCCACATATACAATTACATAAGCGGTTGCGGGTTTGTCTTCTTTCTTCAATATTATCTTGGTAATATTTTTTACTTCTAGCGAGGACTTCATCTCGTTTTTCTGCTTGATATTGTTCCTTTCGGCGCTCACTTATTCTATCCTTGTTCTCCGTGTTCCATTTTTGTTTATAATCTTTTACATGTTCTTCGTTTTCATTTGCCCATCTTTGTTTGTATTGTTTTAGGTCTTGTTCGCTCCTGTAAGCACTCATTATATTTAAGGTCGGTTTCAATTCTTCCATGTGTTCACGTTCTCTTTTTCTTGCTTCTAATGAATTGGATAGTTTCTCAGTTTGTATCAACACCATATCCCAGTTGTCCCACCCGCCATTTTGTCGTATACATTGGTAAATGCTTCTATTATATTGCTTGTCTTTGAGGTTATTACAAACTCGTTTGTGGCATCCCTTCCGTGTTTTGAAATCTGTAGTGTGTCCTATGTAAAAGTCCTTAACATTAATATCTTTACAAACAATTTTATAAAAATGTGTATTAGAATAATCTATTTCTTTGCGTGGCATTATGTGTTATAACTTGTGAAGTCATCATTTCTTTAAATGCTATTCATTTCCTATTTCAAATCGTTTATCAAATCTGACATAGAACATGTGATTTACATCTTTGGCATTTGTATTTATGAAAAAGAAGGAGTATGGCGCGTCGTTTACTGCTTGTTGATACATTTCATACAGTGCGCTTTTATCCACTAATGCTGAATTTTCTTCTAAAAAAGCGTTTACTTCATTCATATTCTTTAGGCGGAAAATGAACAATGCCGATGAGTTTAGTCTAATGATTGGTGCTAAGACATTGTATTTTTGAGTTGATAAAATACACGAGATGGCATTATGGCGACCCCTTGTAAACAATCCATGAAGTAAAGTAGAATATCTTACAAAGCGTGGGTCATCGGCCATATCGTCCACCACTATTAAAATACTAAATAAATCCTTTTGTTTGTTCTTCTTTTGGAAATCAATGACTTTATGCTGAGTGTCTATTATCTTCTTCAGTGCTATTGGGTCATAGTCTTCATAATATACTTGTTCTTTTTCCGTATCCACCTTCATTACATCACTGATATATTTCTTAACTGCCTTCCAAGTGTCATCAACATGAACACTAGGTGAAAAAATGTAAATCCTTTCAAAGGAGTTTCGGTAGATTTTTAATATTAGATTTTGGATAAGCACCGTCTTGCCTCCCGTAGAAGATGCCACGCATAGCATCCTAGCGGGTAGGTTGGGCATCATTCCATATTTAGAGTTTTTGTATTTGTATTCGGGTATGTCTATTGGTTCTACGGTTGGAATTGTTTCACTCATAATTATTATTAATTAGAAAATATATGATTTTAATATATAATGAAAGAAAACTATGATACTTATATTGAAACGATAAACGGCCTAGAAGTAGTAGAAGCGCAGGTAATAAAAGATAGTAAGGTAAAACGATGTTGCTATTTATCATTAGAGTTTGTAAAAGCAGTTATTATTTGCTTGAAAATGTTAAGAAATCTAAATAGTATAAATGGAAAAGGTAAAAGAAGCAGATAAAAACACTGGTGGTTTTAGTGTCAGTAAGGACGGCATTTCTTGTTTTACTTGTAGATGTAAAAGAAATTTTATTAACAAAACAAAGAAGAAAACAGTTGATGAAAAAGGAAGGACAACAGTTGAAGAGAATATAGAGACCTGTTCGCTCGGTTTTGGAAATAGAGGGACTACCCCTGAACTTCAACCGAGAACATTAACAGTTGAAGAAAGGATAGAAGAACTTGAAAGAAAAATTGACTTAATTAAAGACAGAAATATCAGAGATATAGACATTGAATTTAAACGCAGTGTGTCGCACGAAGAACGACTTGAAATTAGGTTAAACAATCTAGAGAAAGAATTAGAAATGTTAAAGAAGTATCATAATCTAAAACTAATGGATTAAAATATAAAGTGTAATATATGGATTGTTTATGCCCTAAAACAGTAAATAAGGAGGAAAAGAAAGACTGGTTAGGTGAAAGAAAAAATATTAGAATGTATAATGCTAGATTAAGTGCTATAATAGATGAACTAGAAGATTACCATCATTATGAAGAGTATAAGAAACGATTTAAATTGTTGTTTGAATTTTACCAGTTAGAAGAATTACTAAAATAATTTAAAAATAAGTTTGTGTTGTATATTGACAGTGCCCCCATGCCAGTGCCCCGTGTGCTTCCATAAGCGCATCAACAGAATGTGGTAATGGTCTAATTAGTTTGTTTCGTGCTTTTGGAAGAAGGAGAAGAAAACCCCGATAGTCCCTATGTAATGTTCTAATGATTTAATTCAAGAATTGAATCATTAGAGTATTGTGTCGGTCTAACCGTGTTTAAAGACTAGACTTTTTAATATAGTAAGATGGAGAAACGAGTGTGTAAATCGTGTTGTGCGACTAAAGATGTTGAAGAGTTTGACGGCTTTAAGACTTGTAATAGGTGCCGCGAAGCGAAAAGAAAATGTTACGGTAAAAACAAAAACGAGTATAACCAAGCGAGAAGAGAAGAGAGGGCAAAAGGGAGCCAATTATGTGAAGAATGCGGACATAAGATAAAAAACGAAAACTGGGATGCCCATTTCCATTATGCGTTACATCCGAACTCGGAACTAAATGTATTGATGAAAGATTATTTAAGGAAATTAGGCAATTTAAGGAAAGAAGGCAAACTAAACGACGAATTACAAGCAGAGATTAAGGCAGAATACGAAAAACAGAAAATGGAAATACGCAAACGTTTAAACGAACAATTTCCCAATAAATTTGTTGATGAAGTGGAACCCGAACCCGAGAAACCTAAACCCGACATTAACAAACTATTCAATCACGTTAATCAGTTACTGATGAACGATGAATTTTTGGAAGATTATTTCATGATATTTCAAAAGCATAAGGATAGAGTAATCATTGAAATTCCGCTTGATAATTCATAAGTATAATGTAGTTATAATCCTTAGGTTTTTACAGATTATAACTATATTATGGTTTTACCTTATCCCTAAACCTTATTCCTATTATAGCTATTTTATTAGAGAAGACCATTTCCATTTTCTAAGGTTAGGGATTTCGGGTTGGGAATATGGGTTTTTCTATGGGGGTATTGGTGAATGGGGTTTAGAGTGGGTTTTTTCTATGTGGTGGTGTATGGGTCTTCCAATGGTTCCATCATATGGGTTTTTCCTATGGGTATTTTGGTGAGGTTAGGGTTGAGGTATAGGTTGTTATGGTTTTGGGTCTTCAGGTGGCCTAGGGGGGTGGGCATGGTTAGAAAATGGAAATGGTCTCTACTAACTAAATGTAGGTTATCCAGGGTTAAGGTAGGGTTTGGGGTTTAGGTTTAGGGGTTTGGGGTTTAGGGGTTAAGGGGTTAAGGGGTCTAGGGTTTATGGCTTAGGATTCAGGGGTTTCGTAGGTTTAGGGCCTCAGGGCTTTGAAGGTTTAGGATTTATAGGGTTTAGGCTTAGGGTTTAGGGTTTAGGGTTCTTTGAAGTTTACTTCATAATAGTTCCCTTTAAGTAGCAGGTACCCAAAAAAGTATCACAGTATGGTACTCCGCAGCCCAGTTAAGGGTCTAGGGTTTGGCAGGCTTAGGGTTCAGGGTTCGAGGTGTAGGATTCAGGGTTTGGGGTTTAGGGTTCTTTTTTTTTTTTTTTGGGAGGGGGGGGGGGGGGTTAGGGTTCCGGGTTCAGAGTTTATAAGGTTTAGGGGTTTAGGGTTTATAGGGTTTACGGCTCGATATACTTTAGGTTGTACCTGGAGATCCGAAAAGCTGCTGTTTCACGAGCTATATCCTCTTAACGTACTATTCTGTAGAATCCAGGGATACAGTTAGGGCCTTAAGTTTCATGGTTTAGGGTTTTAGGGTTTATGGTTTCAGGGCTTCAGGGTTTCAGGGCTTAGGTTCAGACGCAGTCCTACTTCAGGGGTTCACAGGTCCCAAGAATTCGGCACTTGGGTTGAGGAAAGCGGGAAGCATTCCAGCTGTGCACTGAGGGAAAGCCGTATTTGGGATAGTAGCCTTGTAGGTGACTGTTGTGAGAATACACGCATATTGACCACTTGGACTCGTATGGGATTTAGGGCTTCAGATGTTCGGCATTTTGCCGCAATTAGATATAAAGGCCTGGTCGAACTAGCAAAGAGTGTCCTACTTTATGCAACTTCAACCCCTCAGCCCTCAACACCCCGCCCTCAACACCCCAAGTACTAAAGCCCAAGCCTGAGGGTTCCCCTTTTTGGTTCATTGTAGTGATCCAGCAAGAATGATGACAACCCGCCATGACACCCACAGCTGTTTCAAGAGGAGGGGGGTGCGGATGCATGGGATACTTAAACCCTAAACCCTTAAACCTTAACCCCGATACCGAAACCCGAAAGAACCCTAACGAGCCCTAAAGAACCCTAAACCCCCGCAAAAGGAAGGAAACGCCAAGTCGCTGCTTGAACTGTGGGTCGGTCCTCGTGGGCTTCGGGCTTTGGGGCTTTACGGCTTTGGGGCTTCGGGCTTCTACCGATTCTACCGGTACCCTAAGGGTCCAACGGTTGATGATATAAATCCTGCACTACCCAGAATAAGGAATATACCATAATTCCCGGGTAATGCAGGATATCTATCATCAACCGAAGTAGGCCTTCTTTACGGGTTTCTGGTACCCAAAAGCCCCAAAGTCTGCAAAATGATGAATACTTGGACCCTAAGGGGGTAAGCTTTAGGCTTCGGGCTTCAGGGTTTAGGGCTTTAGGGTTTGGAGTTTCGGGCTTTAGTGCGTTCGGGCTCTTGGGCTTCAAGGTTGACAGTGTTGAGGGTTCACGATTTAGTAGGGCTTATACTTTGGAGTTTAGGGTTTGAGGTGTAGCCTAAGGCGCCGAAGAGCGTCATGGCGTTCCTGCCGCAGGTGTTGGGCTTGAAGTGCTACCTTAACCCTGAATAACCAACCTTTTTAGGGTTCGTTATTATGATTTCCTTATGTAAGTCCTTAAAAAAGGAGGTTATTTGGGGTTAAGGTAAGGTTTGGGATCTCACTACAAGGCCGCTTCCGGAGGATTGCCGTGAGCTCCGACTCGGACCTCGGCTCCTCGCGGACGAACCACAGAACCGGTAGGTTCTCGCTGAGAAGTCGTACTTGGAGGGTCGGGGGACTTACTAACTAGTTATTTTGTAGAGTTATAAGTACCATAACCCCAATTCGGATCCCGTTTAGAGTACTTATAACTCTACTTATTATCTACTTACTAGGTCCCCCGACCCTCCAAGTAGCGCCTCCCTCTACATCAGGATGAGGCAGCGGTTTCCCTTCCAGCTGTCCGTGTCGAGTCTTTGTCTCTTGTCATACCAGCCAGAAGACCTGCTCCACTTTTTCTCCTTCCGCCAGTCGCTCGACGAATCGCTGCGATGCTTGGGCGTCCAACCTGAAAACATCGAGCCCGGCAGCAACTTGAGGCGGAAGCGGGAGAGCATGTCGGCTTGTCACCGGGGAAGGCACCACCCCTACCAATGCGATGAGGGCTGAGAACTTAGGGCCTTTGGGGCTTTGCAGTTCCACTCTGGGGTGCCAGCATGATCGGCGTCAAGTGAAGGACCAGGTATGTTGGACACCAAGATGTGTTTAGCAAGTCCGCTGTGACCGCTGTTTGTGGCATGTGTCAAAACACGAGCTCCAGCATCTAGGAAAACTGGATTCCAAGACATCGCTTTTCATTGCTCCCCTTCACCTGCAAGTTCCCAGCTGAATGCGCTGTTTCGGCGTCTGAAACCGTCCTCAACAATTCGAAGAACAGTTATGTCTTTAAGGAGCTTTGAATGATGACTGCATTGGTGTCGTTTCATTGTCTTGCAATGTACTGATCCTGTCAGGGGGGCCGGCAAGCAGGTTATATGTCAAGCTCGTGGCAAGGTAACAGAGGAGCCTTAATAATCAGAGTAGGGGTTTTGGGGCCCGATATACTATAAATATGATACGGAACCCACAAAAAAGTATGGGGAATTCTTTAGTCCCCTATAGGATAGTTCTGCTTACGACCCACTAAGACCCGTGATCCTCAAGTAAGGCTGGGTAGCTGGTCGGGTCCGGTTGGGCTTTTAGGGTTTACCAGAACCCCCCAAGTACCCTTTCAAGGAGTATACTATTTCTCATTAAGAGGTAGTTTGGGGCTACAATAAATTACCTTAAACCCTAAACCCTAAACCCTAATACCCTTTAAAGGGTATTTTGGGGGGTCTAGGTAAGCTTTAGGGTATTTAGGGTTTAGGGTTTGGGCCTTCGGGCCTAGGCCGGGAGGAAAATCCTCATGGTAGTCGCAGTGGAGTCTCCGCGGCCCCAGCAGCAAAACCCTAAACCCCTAAACCCTAAACCCTGAACCCTAAAACCCTAAACCCCTAAACCCCTAAACCCCTAAACCCTAAACCCCAAACCCCTAAACCTCTAAACAAACCCTAAGCCGGCAGACTCCTGATGCCAAAACGACGCAAGTCAGTCCCAAGCTCCAACCTCTAAACCAACTAAAGAACGCTGGAACCTTTCAAGAAAGCTTGAACCGTGACAGAAAGCTGAAGCCCTTAAAGAAACCTGAAACCCTTAAAGAAAGCTGAAACCCTTGAAGAAGGCTGAAACCTTTAAAGACAAACAGCTGAAACCTAGACAGACAGCTGAAACCCTTTAAAGGATTCTTGAACCCTTGAAGAGGTTTGAACCCGTAAAGTCGCGTAAAGAAAGCTGAAACCCTTCAAGAAGGCTGAAATCCTCAAACCCCAACCCTAAACCCTAAACCCTCAACCCTAAAGCCCTAACCCTAAGGCCTAAACCCTAAACCCGACCCGGAAGGCTCGAGGTTATAAGCTACAGAGAACCACAGTCCCCAGAAAGTTGGAAGAAGAATCTGGGATGAGTAGTGCTACGGTTGATAATGTAAATCCTGCATGACCTTAAGGACCCTAAACTATGGGAATTATGGTATGTTCCTTATTTATGGGTAATGCAGGATTTATATCATCAACCGTAGGATCCCTTGTACTTTACTTTGAGGGCATGAGGGTCATAATGCTCCGAGTTTCTGGCTTCTACTATAGAAGCAGCCGAACACGGACCCTAATTGGGGTTATCCTGCTTACAACCCTGCTGAACTATAGTGAATCCCAGAAAATTGGAACAGAGATTTAGGATGATTAATGCCGAAATTCTCCATACTTTGCTTTCAAGGGCATAAGGCTAATGATGTTTCAACTTTCTGGCTTCTACTACAAGTACAAAGTCACCCAACAACGTTTTAGCACGTGCCCCGACCCTCTAAGTAGACCCTTCGGTCCCAAACCCTACACCCCTAAACCCCTACTTGGAGGATCATGGGACTCAGTAAGTCAGTATGTAAGTTGCTCCAGTAGGATTATACGTAATTAATTGTAACTACAGTTACCGTGTTTTTAATCCTGGTTACTAAGTCCCATGATCATTTAAGTAAGGCGCAAAACCCCCACGTTAGGCGAGCCGCAGCCCCTGGAGGAAGCTTGGCTGGGAGCTTGCTGGAACCAAGGAAAGCGAGTCATCCTCGCCCTGCTCCTCCTTAGGTTGTTAGGATTGAGGATTGGGGGTTAGTTGATTGACTCGGGTTTAACGGGGCTAGAGTTATCCTTAGAATTTGGATGGATTTAGGGCTGAGGATTTAGAGTTAGCCTGATTGATCTGGTTTATAGGAACTAGAGTCGTTTCGGGTTTCGGATTGAAGGTTTGCCGTTGAGGGCTTCATAGAGTTTTGGGCATGCTTTATTGAGTCGTTTAGGTTTTAATCCACGTGGGGAGACCGTTTGAGGGTTATTCTTGTCATTCATTCCTAGTAGGGAGACCCCCAATCCCCAACCCAAAACCCTACACAAAGGTGCAAGAGCATGACTGGGCGAACTAGCATGTACCTTCATGATCTCTCCATGCTGCACTGCGGGGTGGGGGACATCTGTAAAGGACAACCCTGGCCGGAATAAATCAGGATCCTGCCCATGGGGTGTAAGGGCAGTGCCAATGCAGGGAGCTGAGATATGGGATTCTTGTGCTGACCGTATATGCCAGGAATGTCCCTGCTGTTCTGCAGCTGGACTCCAGCTACCAGTGACTAGTGTAAGCAGGAGTTGTATAAACCCAGCAAGCTTAAAGTATGAATGCACGGAACCATGAAACCCGATGCTCCCACCGACCTACTATAGGGGGCCTCGTATTTATAGTACAAAGGGCCTCAAAACCCCATTGTACTTATTAAGGCCCGTATAATAATATAGAACCATACTATAGATCCCTTATAGACCCCTTTAAGGAACTCTTTAAAGGAGCCCTATTCTAATTATTAAGCCCCCTCTATTACGGACCCATGGTGCAATTCCAAGCGACATCGCTCTCCTCGATCCTTGGTGCAACAAGGCTTTTAGGCCGCACGAACCAACCTTAACTAAAGACATAGAACACGAACGCCCTACCCCACATTGGTCCTAGGTACTGTTGTGGGGGATACTTCCCCAAATCATGTTAATAAGCCCTAACATAGAAACCCTGCTACGAAACTGTAAACCCTAAACCCTAACCCTAACCCTAAACCCTAAATCCTAAATCCTAAACCCTAAGCCCATAACCCCTAACACCGAGCGGCTCCACTCGAACGGGTCCAGACGTCTCGGCTGCAGACGGTTCTGGAGCTGCCAAGCTGGGGTCCTTCTTTCAAAGGCACTTTAGGTTATATACGGAGGGTTTAAGGTCAGGTTACAAAGGGTTCTGTTAAAAGAGGATCTTGACGGGTCTATTCTAAAACCGAGGATCTATGATCGATGAAGGCTTGATAATGTAGCATCCGAGCTTTAGGCTTGAATCATGGCTTTCCAAAGTTCTATGAAGTGCGTATACCTGGCTGAATAGCCGCTTTGTCTCCACAGTTCTAATAACCTGTCCAGTATCCTAGGGGATTTAACGGTTAACCTTTGGAATAGTATAGGAATCATAGTACCCCCCCCAAACAGGTTAAAACTGGGTCTATCAAGGGCTTGATTTCGCTTGACCAGGCTTTTGAAGGCTTTGTTTGCTTGAGTTCTGTTGGAGTGCTTTGTAGGATTTAGGTGGGAATCAGGGCTTGTGCTGTGCGGCTAAAATGCCTCTGTTAGGGATCTATAGGATTGGGGCTGAGACTTAGCAAGCTTTAGGGGCAGAGCTTGGAAGCTCAATCAAGATTCGGTTCAAGGGCTTATGGTTCGCGCCTGCGGTAGGGGGATGAAGGATTCAAATGCCCCAAACGGACCGCGCAAAGGATTTCCGAGGAGCTAGACAGAGCCACTATTACCCTACTTGTCCAGTTTTCTAGGAGAAGTAAGCGTTATCCTTTTCGGTTTAACAAGTCAAGGACTTCCCTACCTCAAGCATGTGCAAGGATACTAGCTCGACTACATTACTGTGCTAGTGCGGTTCTTTTTATAATGACGATGCTGTCTTGGAAACTCTTCGAAAGGGGTAATTAGGTCGTCTGGCCGACAAACATACCCTAAACACCCTGATATGATATGACCCTCCTCTACTCCTTTCAGAAGAAAAACAAACTAGATTGTTGAAGATTCCTTTAAAACACGCGCATCGTGCAACACAGCTACAACTTCTCAATACCCTCAACAAGTACCGGGTTTAGTCTAAGCGTAAACCGCAAAACGCAAATCATAATCCCACATCTGAAAAAAACTCTCAGAAGCCCTTCTATGAGACCTGTAAGAATGTTTACGGAACCCTCAAGAGACTTTAAACAGCCCTAAACCCATAACCCTAAAAGGAACCTGAAGGAACGAAAGCCCCAAGGTAGCCGCACCTCTTCGAGCTTCTGGGCCGTTTTAGCCTCCTCTGCTGCCGCACGGGTCTTCTCCTTTGGATCGATATTCAAGAAAATTATGCGTTTTTGGTCACTGGTTCGGGCATCTTAGATAGGACTCAGGATTCTTGCAGATTCCTGAGGAATTCGTCGTTTTTGCAATGGTTTCTGATAAAGTGGGTTTCGCTTGTAGGGGCTTGTAGGGTCCAGCTTCTTAATTGCTGACGATTTAGATGGCTGTAGGGTTTGGGTTTATCAGTGATGTGCTTCTGTCGATCGCCCGTACCTTCTTGGCCATGTCCAAAAATACCGCTAATTGAGCCTGCTGAGCCTTCTTCGTCTTGCCCATCAACCTCTGGTTCCAACGGGAAAACTATACTTCAGGCCCACCGCCCTTTAGCCACCGAAAGTCCTACGGTAGCGAACAAACCCCAACACCTTGATTAAGCCTTAACTTAAGCCCACAGCCATAAACATTATGCACGCCCCTACACCACGTTAAGGCCTCATGGGACACCCTATAGGCAGCCTTACACCTGCTTATGAAATATCACAAGACCACCTTTAATCCTAAACACAAACACTCGTACACCTCGAACTTCACCCCTTAGCCTTTCAATTCGACCCTAACCTTTTGTAGCAAGGCCCAGCGTCGAGAAGGTCCAGCGCTTCTTTACTCGAAGGCACCAGGGCAACAGCGTCCTCACCGTCAGGGTTACGCGGTCGAGAACTCAAAGTTCAAGGGTGAAGGTGTGGGGGTCTAAGGGTTGAGAGGTTGGTGTTTGGAGTTTAAAGTTGGGATTTGCATGAAGTTTAGGGTTTAGGGATAGAACGGGATAAAGCTTAGGAGTTTCGGGCTTCAGAGGTTGCTGTCTGGGGGTTTAGAATGGTTGACTATTTAGGGTTCGGCTTCAGGTGTTACTGTTTATAGGGGTTGGAAGTTCTAGGGTTCATGGCTAGGCTTACTTGGAGGATCATGGGACTTAGTAAGTAAAAATCACCTTTACTGGGATTACGATTAGTTGTAGCTACCGTTACATTTCTTATAACCCTAGTTTCTAAGTCCCATGATCCTGTAAACCTGAAAATATGGAAATCCCTTGTAGAACCTTGAACATCCCTTAACTGAGCCCTTTAAGGAATCCTCGGCACTACGTCCACTTAACTCTTACTTTAGGGCTCAGCCTTAGTCTCAAACCTCAAGCCCGCGAAGGATCTTACTCGAACCCTGGGTTTTGATGGGATCTACAAGGATGGGAACAACCCTCTAGTCTAAACCCTAAACCCTAACCCTAAACCCTAAACCCTAAACCCTATGACCCTAAACCTAAAATACATCCTAAGCCCCAGAATCATTTTATGGCCCTGCAGCTGTTGACATGCAGGTGCTGGCCCAATGCTGTGAGGCTCGTTGTGGCACGCACATGGTCCACACCCAGTCGCCCTGTTGCATTGCCGTCCGGGCAACTGGCTGCAAAATCAGTGTAGCTGTGGATTGTTCTGCAAAGGGTTTTTCTCCGCAACCTCCCGGACCACCTCCAAAGTCTCATCAGGTTCTTCTTCTGCTGGGCGACCGCAGGCAGCTCTCCTTTGCAGAATCTTGTGCACAAGTACACATATTTGTTAATAACACCCAAGCGATGCATCATTCTCGCATAGTCCACCCGCTTGTGGCTGGATGTCTGGCTCTTCGTTGCATTGCCTCTACAACCAAACAATGCTGCTTGCTGAGCTTCTTCGAATGTGGCTTGCAGTTGGTCCGGTCCTTTAGCTCGACAACCCATCGTGAATCGGAGTGAGATGTTGGAGCTCTTCTTGCCAAGTAAAAGCTTGCTCTTCCCCCATGCCAAAAATTAGACAGGCGCATTGCCGCCGGCTTCTTTTCGACGACGTCTTGCGTCGAGCTGGTCGGGGTGCTGTCTTGGAGTTGAGTGTTTCGGGCTTAGGGTTAACCAGAAATGATAGATAGAACCAAACGGCAGGATCCATTTAACGACAAGGTTGGCGGTGGAGCTGTTGGTGGTAGTGCTGCTGGTGTCATGCTCCCAACTGGGAGCAGAGTACCCTCGACTGCCACGGAGAATCGCTGATGACCCCTCTGAAACTGCACACGGGTCCGCAAAAGCGGGGGGGGCCCGACCCAGCAGGAGGAGCCAACCAAGCAAATCCTCGATGTAGCAGGAGGGTCTTATCTGCATCCGGCATGCAGTGGGCTGTGTCTGACGATAAAATGTTGAAAATGCGAAAGCAAATTCATAGCACATGTTTGTTGGTGCAGAATGAATCCCAAGGCTATGCGCGGCTATGCTAGGAAGTGACTCAACAGCATTTTTTGTGGACTGCTGTCATTCGAGGTGCTGGTTGCAATGCTTCGAATGGAGCCGAGCCCGATCCGGACGACATGAACTTTTGGGAGTTGAAAGACGCAGCCAAGCACCCTCTAGGTGAGCAATATGACACCGATCACTTGGCAATGAGGAAAAGTCCAGGGTGCTTAGGAATTGTTTGCAACTTGTTTCGAATCGAGAATTGGTAGCAACGTGTAGCATGTGCGTTGTTTTGCCATTCTCGAGAGGATGTTCATGCTTCTTAGGCGACTATTCGGAAGTGGGAGGATGCAATGCAAGCATTAAGGGCGACTTCCCATGTGGGCTTGTGTTGGCCAGCAGGCCCTTCACGTTGGCGCTACGACCACCTGGATATGCAACCATGCAGGAGGGTGTAAAAGACATGCTGCAAGAAGAAATGGCAAAGTTCAATTGTGCACACGTGTCAAATTCTGGTGGAAGCGGGCACCCACTTCTCATCCCTCACACTTCGACGCAAGTCCTGCCGGAACAGCCGGCTGGTAGGAGAGCTGTTGGCACATGAAATAGATGCAGCTATCTCTTACGCAAGACAACGCTGGGCCCTTTACTTTTGCTTCTATGGCCACAAACTTGATGGAAGAGAATTCTTAGCAGAGAAGCTCCTTCCAGCATTCGACATTATGCAAGCAGAGCTGGGCTTCCATGTTGAGTATTGGCAACATGTTGGGCATAAGATACAAGTAAACTGTCCACCTAGATGCCTGGCTGATGTTTCTAGACTTAGTTTGTGAAAGCTCAAGTCAAAGAATCTAGTTGGAGACCAGTGACTAGATTTATGTAATGGGTTCAAAAACACTTTGCCAACAAGAATTGCTCAGGTGGAAGGCCTGCGAGACATGCGTGGCACCGCAAAGTGGTGGACTGGGGCACACAGAGCCGGGTCAATGGTCATCACTGCCCTTTCTTCCTCATGGGCAACCTGATTGATGCGCCTGGCTGGACCCAATCAGGCAACACCGAAACCTCAATCTTCAACTTCAAGTTTGTATGCATTATAAGTTTAGGGTTTAGGGTTTAGGTTCTAGAATTACAAATGAAACCTCCAGCTTTTACCCGGAACTCCAAACCTGACGAGATTGGCCGGGCTTAGTTAGAAAACTTGCAAACCTAAACCTCAAACCCGAAGCCCTAACCCCCTAAACCCTAAACCCCTAAACCCTAAACCCCTAAAACCCTAATCCCTATTTAAACCCTAAGCCCCTGAAGCCCTAAACCCTAAACCCTCATGAACCCCGAACCCCGAACCCTGAACCCAAGGAGCCCCTTCCCCCCCCGAACCTTAAATACTCAACCCCTACCTGGACCCCACATGGGAGTTTCCGAAAATGAGGGACCCTAATGTAGGACCCGAAATAGTAGGATCCTTATTATAAGGACCCCAAAATAAGGCACCCCCCCATTTTCGGAAGCTCCCACATAACCTACCATTTTAAAAGGGGGTTCCCTGATACGCTTTCCTTATACAAGTCCTTAGAAACGATAGGTTGTTTGGGTTGAAGTTACACCCTAAAGCCTGAACCTGGAAGTTAGATTTTACATAAGAGCCCTGGCCAAGCAGCACCGAGACCTACAGCTTGTTAGGAAGGCCTTAAACCCTAAACCCCTAAACCCTAACTCTAAATTCGAAACCCTAAACCTTAAACCCCTAAACCCTAAACCCTAACACCCTAAACCCTAGACGCAAGCCCGGGTCAAGGCTGGTGGTCTCGGGAGCGAATCCTTGGGCACGAGATCCACAAGGCCACCATCTAAATCTGTGGTCACTCTACTGGGAGGGTCGGGGGACTTAGTAAGTAGGCAGTAAGTAGAGCTATAAGTACCCTGAAAGGGATCCTAATCTGTGTTATGGTACGTATAACTCTCGAAAATAGCTATGTTAATAAGTCGCTCGACCCTCCAAGTAAGAAAGCCCTTCTTAGAGGATCAGGGGACTCAGTAAGGGCTACCCTGCTTATAGCTCTCCCCATCACATACTTGCTAGGGCCCCTAACCCTCTATTTGGATGCCAAACTTAACCCGTAAGCCACAGAAATCAAAACCAGGTCCTCCAGATCGTTCAGGGCATCTTCCCACTTGTGCCTCCGAGGTGAACGGTAAAGATTAAATCTCCAACCGCAGCTCAAACACAAACCCTGCTGAAGTTTAGGACCCCCCCCAAACCACATCAAAATCAGTGGAACACTTGCAGCTTGGCCAACACCTCAAACTCTGGACCCTAATAGTTTTTGGTTACTTTCTACGCCCTGAACTTTGCGGTATCCTGCTAGAAGAAACAAGAACTGTCCGTTTATGGAGGAGGATCGACAGAACCCTGCCGAGAACCCTGAGCCTGCCAGTATGCTTAGGGTTTAGGGTAATTAGGGTTTTTGAGGCTTGGGATGCAGGGCCGTGATGCCTTCAGTGTTGATGATCTTAATTCTTTCATGCATGATGAATCTCAGAAGGATGGAACTTCTTCCGGCTCCTTCCGCTGCACGCTAAAATGCAAGCTCCCAAAGTTCTAACGGCCCGGAGTCGCCACAGAACTACCCCGGAATCCCAAACAACCATAATCCAACAACTCAAGGCCCTCAAAACACAAACCCGGAGCAACCAAAATGCCTTTTAGTCATGAACCTTACACTCGAACCGCAAGCTCTCGAAGCCCCAAACTTCAACACCCCTAAACCTTCAACCTTCCCTGTAGCCCAAAGAGCCTTGCATCGAATAGCAACCCAACCTCCGAAAAAAGTAGAGCTTTCGGGGTTGCAGGTGACCAAGGGGGATAAACAAAAACATATATATATATATATATATATATATGTATCTATGCTACCGTTATGGAATCAAGTCCCCCAAACCATAGTAGGGATGGTCTTCTGGGACCCAATTCCACAATGATTGGTAGTGTATATTGACCTTGAACACTAAATACTGAACCCTAAACCTCAAACCCTAAACCCTAAAACCAAAACCCTAAAGCCTGAACCAAACCCATGAACCCTCTGGGTCAACCATCTTACTATAAACCCTAAACCCTAAACCCTCAACCCTCCCCCTAAACCCCAACCCCCCCCCCCCCCCCCCGACCCTCCAAGTAGTGTATCTGGACCCTCTGGGTAACAAATAAGCCATGAACCTTAAATCCTAAACCCTGAAACCTAAAATTTCCTAAAACCAAAACCCTAAAGCCTGAACTAAATCCATGAACCCTTGTAGGAACCCTTAAAGGATTCCTATCTGGATAACAGGAAAGCCCTGCAGCCCCTCAGCCGAGCTGCAAAGCCCGAAGAGCTTGGGCTCGGCGCGTGAAGGCCTTTCGGCTAGGATCATTGGAGTTTTAGGGGGTTTTTAGGGTTTAGGGTTTAGGGGTGAGGAATTTTCAGGGTCCAGGGTTCGTAGGGTTTATAGGGTTTACAGGGTTTATTATAGGATTTAGGGCTTTTTTCGGGGTGAGTAATTTTAGGGTCCAGGGATTATAGGGTTTATAGGGTCTTTCGGGTTTGCAAAGTTTATAGGGCTTAAAGGGTTTATCTAGTTTTGGGTTTCTCGGCTTTTGTAAGGGTTGGGGCAGCATGAGTCTTTGGACTTTTGCATTCGGAGTGCAAAATTCGTAGTCCCGAACATCGGCATTCTGCGTTGTCTTTGTTACTTAGAACCCTGCTAGCTGGATACTCGTGCGATCATGCGCAGAATCAGAACTCACGCTATCGCGGCTCTTGTAATCTATGGCAGGGGCAATTCGGTGCCTGCGGCTCGAAAACAGCTGCTTTTAATGCTCGATGATGTATTCCGTCTCACGTCACCTAGGCCTAGCCATGTCTTCGCGTTAAACCTTCCCTAAGGGTCCATGTGCCCAAAAAGTACATGTTTCGGCCTTCAAGTCTAGACCCAAGAGTAACCTAGGAATAAAAAGGGTGCCTCTTTTGGTTTAAAGGGGCTTTTTTGGGAACCTGAATCCGAAAAAAAGAGAATAAGGGCCTACTCTAGGTCCTAGAAGTAGTCCCGCTATACGCACTTTGGGGCTGAATCAAATGGGAGTTTCCGCAAATAGGGGACCCTAAGATAGTACCCGAAATAGTGGGATCCTCTGTATAAGCACCACCCGAAATAAGGTACCCCTATTTTTTCGGAAACTCCCATATACCATTTGGGCAGGTGGACTCTTACCTGAAGGACCGAAGGACCCCTAAAAGTAGCGGCCCTGTGTCCACGTACCCATACGGGAGTTTCCAAAATTCGGGGTACCTTATTTTGGGGTCCTTACAATAAGGAGCCTACTATTTCGGGTACCATAAACGTGCTCCCTATTTCCGGAACCCACCATATACCGCGACTCCCTACTTGTGTTTGAACCTTACCCTAAGGGTCCTAACACCTTGAGGAACCCCAAAAATGTAGGATTTCTGAAACAACGGGACCCAGGGCTCTTCCTAGGAGATTCCGGACCCTCCTAAGGAGATACCTGGACCCTTAGGGCAAGCCCTTATAGCCTGAACCCCTAAACCCCAAACCCCCCTAAACCCCATAAACCCCGAAACCCCTAAGCCCTAAACCCCCCAAACCCTATACCCTAAACCTGGACCCTTAGGGTAAGGTCGGGCTTATCACACGGTGCCTCTCGGACCCGATTCGGGTAGCCACCGCATCATAAAACTCATCATCCGAGGCAGCATAGTTAATCCAGGGGCCTTCGTGATTAGAATAGGGTTTCGGGATTTGGTGGTATCTTCTTATATTTAAGGAACCGCCCAGAATAGTTTTGGTACTTATTTACGTCTTAACAGTAGTTCACACGCTCCCTCCGGTTATCATACCCTCTCTCGATGACCTCTGTTGCGGCCTCGACTATTAAAGCAGCCATGTATTCAATCTCTGCGACCGTCCTTGAACAACTGCACAACCCTTGTAAAATCTTCGCAGCAAAACCTCTCAATGCCAAAAGCTCTGAAACATACATAACTCGTAAAAGAGCCAGCAGCCAACTGCAAAAACAAACCTTGGAAAGCCATATCTGGCAACCTAAACAAATGTAAACAAGCCAACTACATAAAATCAAAACAAACCATGTTTTCGAAGCTTCTGAAGTACTGGACTCTACGAACCCATACACCGGGTTCCCCGGTAAGACCCTCATACTCCAGGCTTTTTTTGTTTAATTACCCTTGTTCGCCAATTCTCAACTGCTTAAAGAGACACATCCCAGAAAATGCGGGCCCTAATTAAAATCCTAAACCGTACATCCCGAACCCTAAACCCTGAACCCTGAAACCCTGAACCCCAAACCCTAAACCCTAAACCTTCCCAGACCCTAAACCCTAAGCCCTGAACCCTAAACCATCCTAAGCCCTCAACCCCTAAGCCCCAAAACCCTATGAGTACACAGACCCCTTCAAGCACGAGAGCCTTGAAGCTCTAGAAATACCCCAAATACCCACCATAAGGACTCTACTACCCTAAACCCTTAGGGTATTCGGTTTAGGGTTTAGGGTTTAGGGTTTTATTCAAGGACCCCATAAAAGGAACCCTTTAAATGAGCCCTTAACAGGATTTCTTAAAGACCCCTTGAGGAAGGAGAGCCTTGAAGCAGGCGTCCGCACTCTTCTGGAAGCCCTCCTCAAAGATCTCAGCGTACCTCAGAAAAGGTTTAGGGTCTGGGGGTCTAGGACCAGGGTCTAGGGGTTTAGGGTTTAGGGGTTCAAGATTTAACCCAAAGGGTTCAAGTAGTAGTATAGTATAAACTGCCGTGGCCCAAATACCTACGAAGTACTTACTTTAGTGATACTTGGACTCTTTGGGTAAGGGCTCTACATTCTTAGCCGCACGTGCCTACTATACTTTGGGAGATCAAATTTAAATATTGGGATAGAGTTGTGGGGCCCATTAGTATACTATAATTATAACGAAGCCGGCGAATAGTATTGGTAATTGTTTAGGCCCCTATATTATGTGGTCCATGTCTCTGGCTTTGGGATTTCTCGGATACACACGCAACCAAAGTCCCTCTTTCATTTTCCTATTTGATTAGGATGACGGTTTAGGGTTTGGGGTTAAGGTTTTAGTGAGTGTTCAGGGATGAGGGCTAAGTGTTAATTTAGGGCAGCAGGTCTGCACCCAGAAGCTATCAAAGCCCAGCGTCTCGATGACCTTGTTGCAGGAGCTGATGGCGTCATGCCAGCGGAAAACCTGCAGGGTGACACTCAACCCCTGCACCCTACACCCAAAACATCAAAACCCAAACCCTAAACCCTGAACTTCCCTAAACTCTAAGCATCAAATCCCCAAAACCCTTCACCCTACAGCTAAGCCCACAACCGCAAACCCTCATCAGTAACAACTTTCCAACATCGGGGTCGTCAAAACACCCAAAGATCAAAGCCGCGAAAGCGAACCTCTGAAGCTAAACGAACCTGATAGCAACAAGGGAAGCAGCTTGGGAAAAAAGGAGTGTTTCTTAAGGCATGTGTTTTAAGCGAATATTAAAGTGGCCAGAAAGCCCTCTCGTTTTCCGGGCTGTTACGCCTGCCTGGGCTCCTCTTTCTGAAAAGGGTGTAAGGCTGCTCTAACCCTAGACACCCATGCAACATCATGCAGCCTCATGTAGACCAAGCCCCATAAAAATTCACCATGCAAAGGGTCCGTGATTTTCTGAAACTCCCAAGCGGACTCGAAAGCAAGTCTCCCCTAAGGGTCCGGGTATCTCTTTAGGAGGGTCCGGAATCTCCTAGGGAGAGCGCTTGGGTCTCTTTGGGGTCTCAGAAATACTACAGATTGAAGTTCCCTAAAGTGTTAGGAAATTTGGGGCGAATGACCTCAAACTCCTCTATGAGGCCCTGTTTAGGGTTCGGGGTTTAGGATGACGTACTCTCGGGTGTATTCCTATACCCCCACTAGATCCAGGCCCTAAACCCCACAGCCGGGCTAAACCATCTATAAGAACAAAAATAGACCAACAAATTCGAGACTATTATCTAGGATGCTCAGCAACCCAGGAGTAAGAAGTGTACCCTCTATAAGGAACCTAGGACTACAAAAAGGGAATAAGGGTACTACTGGGCATCCTAGTTATAGGTTCGCGGAGCCCGAAACCCTAAACCCCTAAACCCTAAACCCCAAGAGACTATTATAGGTTCCCGGAGCCCTGGGCCACTGCCGCCTTGAGTTCTGCCAGCGCCTTGTTCGTCCACAAAGCCTTGAGGTCTCCTTCAGCTTGCGTTCGGCTTTAAAGAAGGTTCGGGGTTCCTTGAAAAAGGCTTCTATAGGGGTTTGTAGGGTTCCTTTACAAGGGTTCTATAGGGCTTAGGGTCTGGAGGGTTTAGGGTTTGGGTTCGGGACCCTTTAACACGCTGAAGGTGCCGGGAATAGTGGTAAGTAAACTTTCTAATTTCCTTGGGATCCGAAAACCTAACGTTTTACACGCTCTACCCTCTAATTAAGGGGTCATAACCTACTATTTTGTAGGGTTTGGGGATACAGGTTTGTAACACCCCAAGCTCAAAAACTTAAACACTCAAACCCGAACACCCAAACCCTACTGCAAACCCAACACCAAGCCTTCAACCCAAGACCGTGAAATCCTGATACCTGTACTTGGAGGGTCGGGGACTTAGTAAGTAGGTAATAAGTAGAGTTATAAGTACCCTAAAAGGGACCCTAATTGGTGTTATGGCACTTATAACTCCCTAAACTAACTACTTAGTAAGTCCCCCGACCCTCCAAGTAGGTAGCTCAAAGTATCAAACTGGCAGTGACTGCTATCATCTTCCTAGGATTCTAGAACGAACCCCTGTAAGACAGTTGGCGACCCTTCCTAGAATCCTGATATATGGGAGTTTTCGAGAATACGGGACCCTAATATATGGTACCCCAAACATTGGGATCCTTATTATACGGACCACAAAGTAACAAAGTCCCCCAAATTTTCGGAAACTCCCATATAGATCCCTTACCGTAAACCCTGAACCCAGCACCTTTAAACTAACCCCAGACACCGAGCTCCTAAACCCTAAACTCCAAGCCCCTAAACCCTAAACGGACCTAAACCCCCAAACCTAAACCCTAAACCCTAAAACCCCTAAGCACTAAATGGACCTTAAAACGTTTAGGTTTAAGATCGATCTTAGAGGCTCTGAAAGGTTTGAAGGCGTTCTGCTAGGGTTTGCGAGCCCCTTAAGCAACGCATATACCTTGAGTTGAGGATCCTTCTTTATTGAATAGTAGGTTGCTGAGTTAAGGGGTTTGGGAGTTCACAATTTAGTACCGCAAAGAGATGCGGACAGGATGAAATTAAGGGACATAGTGAAAACGTACGCAAATAACAAAGGAATATGTGCCCTACGTTGGCGGCGCCTTGCCCATAAATATAGTCAGTACCTATAACTATCAGTTCGTTTAACACTGATACTTTAAATATATGCTAGCGGGACTGCATAAACGTAAGCTGCCCGAACATTTTCGAACCTCCCTACATCCCACCCAAAACCCTAAACCCGAAACCCCTAAACCCTTAACCCTAAACCCCTACATCCGTAACCCTAGTCCGGCCCTCCACAGGTGAGGCAAGCATCTTCGATACTCCAAGCCCTCGTCGTAGTGCTCGATGGCACCGACGAAGTCTCCCTCGCCTTGGTAGAGTTCTACGGTTTAAGGTTTACTTGGCTGACTTCTGAACCCCTCCAAAAAGTTAAAGTTTTCGCATCCCTATTATGGTTCACATAGAAACCTAAAAAGTTAAAATCCTAAGATCCAGCCAGAGGAACGCCAAGTTTAGGGTGTAGGCATTTAGGGTTTAGAGTTCGATGTGGGCGTTTCCGAAAATTAGGGGTACCTTATTGTGGGGTCCTTTTAATAATGGATACTTTTATTTAGGGTACTGTGTCAGGGTCTCCAAACCCCTTGTGCCAGAAAAATACAGAGGCAATAACCCTATAAACCGAAAAACCTCAGCGCGTAAACCTAAAGCCGTATCCGTGGACCCCCGGCAAGTTGCGGTCGGAAGATTCGGATTCTGTCGGATTTGGGGGTGGTTTAGGGCTCTTTTTGTGGTCTAGGGCTTGGGGGGCTTCGGGGTGGACAAGCCTCAACTTGAATGACAAACCACTGCAAAAACCTAAACCCTAAACCCCCTACTAAACCCCAAATGCCAAATCCCTAATTAAACCCCTAACCTACTCAACCCTATAAATCCCTAAACCTAAAGCCAAACCCCTTAACCTTAAGCCCCAAAACGCCTAAGCCCCCAAGCCCCAAAGCCCGCTGAAACCTCTCAAACCCTTTCTAGGATGCCCCGTAACCTAGGCAAAAACAGGGCTCCCTTTTTGGTATTGGGTAACTTAATCAGGAACCTAAGACTACAATAAGGAAATGAGGGTACTACTGGGCATCCTAGTTATAGGTTCCCGGGGCCCTAAACCCGTAAAACCTAAACCACTAAACCCTAGGGATACTATTATAGGCTCCCGGAGACCTAGGCCACTATCCTAGCTTTTGGCCCGCGTGGCTCATGGACTGATTGCCCCGCTGCCGACAGCGCTCGGCGGTCTTTGCCTTCTCCGCTTGCCTGGGCTAAGGTTCAGGTCTTTTCTTTTTTTGGGGGGGGAGGTTAGGCTTTTTGTTTTTAATTTAAGTCTTTTCTTTTTAAGGGTTCAGGTCTTTGCTTTATAGGGGTTTAGGTCTTTTCTTTTTGGGGTTGAGGGCCTTTTCTTTTTTGGTTTAGGTTTGTTAGGGTTGAGGGATTAGGTTTTTCCGTTTCTGGGGCTTATAGGGTGTATGGATTCAGGGTTTAAGGTTTACGCCCTTAGGGTCAAGGGTTCGTTTGTGGCTTTTTGATGAGGGGTTCGGCTTGATTGTGGTTATGGCTCTTAAACAAGGGCTTCGGGCTTATTCTGGTTACTAGGGCCGCAAAAAAGCACATAAGCAAACATACGGGTAGGGATATCCCATATAAACCCCCTTAAAAGGAAGGCCAATACGGTAGGGATATCCCATAAAATGCTGATGCTTATGTGCTCTTTAGGTCCCTAAGTCACGGGCCTTTTAACCAAGGGTTGCGGATTCACGGTGGGGTTTGACAAGGTTTAGTGCCCGGGCGTCTAAGTCCCGGGTTTGGGGTTTATGATTTATAGGGGGCTTCTAAAAGGGTTCTCTGGGCTTTAGCGTTTGGAGGGTTTCGGGTTTGGGTTTAGAGGCCTTATAACTCTTTCAAGCTTTAGGGTTTAGGGGGTATATATTATGAGCAGCCGTGGCCGTGGCTTTTTAACACGGGGAGCCAAGAAAGTGCACCGCGTTGTCGGATCTAGCATAAACTATACTTGGATGGTCGGGGGGCTTAGTAAGTAGCTTGTTAGTTGTAGGTTTGTAGGCATCGTATCCCAAATTAGGATCTGGCTTAAGGCAAGGTGCTTATAACTTATAGCTCTACTTACTGCCTACTTCCTAAGTCCGGTCTATCCTCCAAGTGTAGGTACTGTGAAAGGATCCTGGGGGGGCCTTCGATAGTGCAAGGATCAGGATTCAAGATAAGTGTTCACGGCTCAAGTGTACGGTCAAGGATGATTGAGAGATTTCGCTTTCGAGTCTACGTGGAGAGTTTCCTCCAAGCTTCTTGGGAGGGTATGTCCTACTTCAAAACCCAAACGCTTAAACTTCAAGCTTCAAAATCCCGAACGCCAAAATCTGGAGTGAACACCCGAAAGCAACACCAAACCTCTAAACGCAAGCACGCGGCGTTGAAGCTATACCCTGAGTCCTAAGACCCGAGACCTCAAACCCTAATTAAACTGGAAATCCTAGGCCAAGCCCCAAAATTCCTGAAGCCCTGAACCTTTGGATCCTGCGTTTTAGGATTAGGGGTTTTTGGGGTTTACCCTAAGGGTTCGGGTATCTCCTTAGGAGGGTTCGGAATGTCCTGGGGCGAGTCCTTGGGTCTCTTTGGGGTCTCAGTAATCCTACATTTTGAGGTTCCCCAATGTTTGAGAACCCTTAAGGTATAGTGTGGGCATCCTGTACACCTGAAGCGTAAACTAAGCAAAGCAGCCTGAATACGGAATCTAAACCCAAGAGTAACCTAGGAATAAAAAAGGGTGCCCTGTTTTGGTTTAAAGGGGCTTATAAGGGAACCTGAACCCCTAGAAAAAAGGAATAAGGGCCCATTCTAGGTCCTACTTGGAGGTAAGGGGTTATGGTACTTATAAGTCTCTAAAATAACTACTTACTAAGTCCCCCGTAGGAATGATGAGACCGGGCCACAGCCTCCAAAGTGTACATCCCAAACCCCAAGGCCACCTAGCCAAGGCGACACACCCCTAAACCGCCCTCAACCCCTAAACCCTAAACCCCCAAACCCCTAAACCGACTTAAACCCCTAAACTCTACTCCTCCCTAAACCCTAAATCTAGAGCCCTCAAGCCTCAGAGCTCTAAACGGCATTAAACCCTAGAGCCCTAAAACCCCTCAAAGCCTTTCCCCAAAGGGTCCTATGTACCGATATAGTAGAATGTAGGGTTTCCATATTAGGAATTACTATTATGACTTAGGGAAGTATCCCCCATACCAGTACATAGGACCCTTTGGGTTCTGCAAACTGGCAGCTTCTTCTTTCGATCCTTGAGATCCGCCTCCATAGCCTTGGTTGCTTAGGGTTTTTTTTGTTTTAAGGGTTTAGGGTTCAGGGTTTAGGGTTTAGGGTTTGGGATTTAGGGTTTAGGGTTTGGGGTTTCGGGTTTAAGGTTTACGTAGGGCTTAGGGTAAGAAGGTTTCCCAGAGGGCCCCTATACACAGCAATTGTGGAACTAAGTCCCCAATTCCACAATAGGGACGGCCTTTTGGGACCTAATTAATTGCACAAGGATAGTGTATGTGGACCCTCTGGATTCCGTAGAACTAACCGAGCCTGAACACTACGAGCCCTGAGACGTAACCGACGAAATCTGCAACCAACTTCCCTATCCAGCTCCTAAGCCCTAAACCCCAAAACCCTAAACCCTATAAACCATATAAACCCTATAAAACCAAAAAACCCTATAAACCCTCTAAGCCCTAAGCCCCAACAGATTCCGTAACCAACTTTCGTATCTGGCCCCTAAACCCTAAACGCCTAGTATCCCTAAAACTCTAAACCCCAAAAGCCCGAAACCCCAAAAGCTCTATAAGCCCCGACAAATTCTGTAGCCAACTTTCGTAGCTAGCGGCCATGAACTCGGGATTGTCCTTCGGCACAATAGGGTCGCCTCCCGGGCTGCGTGGGAGTTTCCGAAGACTAGGGTACATGTTTTGCGGGGCCCTTATAATAAGGATCCTAGTTTTGGGGATACTTTTGGGGTCCCCTATTTTCGGAAACTCCTGCGTGTGAACTTGCGGCTCTTGCAGGTGCAGGGTTTAAAGAGTAAGGATTTGGGGCTTAAGTGCTTGCGGTAGGGCTTACGCGTTTAAAGGTTTAGGGGTCTTGGTCCTTTTCGTCTGAAGCTACACTCGCAACGCTGCTTATTCCCCAAAAGCCACAGAGCAACCCTGATTCCTTAGCCTTAGCCTTAATATGGGGGCACTAATAGTTGGCATAGGGTTTTGGGGCCCACTCTACTATAAACATAATAAGGAACCCACAAAATAATATAGGTACTGATTTAAGTAAGCTGCTATAGTAACCCGCTCCCGAAAGAATCTCAAGAATTCAAATTCGATCAACGATCGGTCGGTGCCGGGGCCGGGGCCATAAAGGGATCTATATGGGTACTACATAAGGTTCGTTAAATGGGGGCGTTATGGGGGCTTATAGGGTTTAGGGGGTTTAGGGCCTTTAAAGGCAAAGTAATCATGAACTCTCAGAACAGGCTCTCAATCGCAGGTCTTTCGAGTTGAGGTCATATATACTTCGCTTTTCATCTTCCAGAATCTCCGTTACAAAACCCGGTCAACTCTGCAATCTACGCCCCAACCCTGTGGATGCAAGCACCGAGCAGGCATCTACGCATCAAAACTGCACTGAACTTAGAACCCTAGCAAAAAAAAAAAAAGCTGTTTCTTAGGGATTATAATGACCAAGAATGAAATCATTTCTAAGTACCCCTAAGAAAATACTAGCTAGCCTGCGTTATCTCTTGCAGCGGTCCTTAAAGGGAGGGACCCGTGAAGCACCCTTGAAAGACACTCTTAAAGTGATAAGTATCAAGTTTTGGGTGAGCTGGACGTTCGGCTTTCCGGGCGGAGTTTGTCCCATGAGGCTTACGGTGTGTTACTCAACTAACACTAAATACCGACACTATCCTATGGTTTGGAAGCCGTTGCCTGAGGTTTGGGATAAGGGTTTTGGGGACTAGATGACCAGCTGGATGATTACTACTCCACAACCTAAACCATGTACTTGGATCCTGTTGGTAAGGTCCTTAAACCCCTACGCGCTTGAACCCCCAAACCCTTTGGACCCCTAGACCCTCAAACTGTACACCCCCTCAACCTATTCCCCCCCAAAGCCCCTGAATACCCTAAAACCCGCAATAAACAACACACCTAGAACCTTAACAACCCTGAAAGCCATACACAACAAAGAAACCTCAACAGTAACAACCCCCGACATCCCAATATGATGGGAGGCCAAAAGGGGGGTTTAAGATTCTTGGGGTAGGGGTTCCTTAATATGAACCCTATTATGGGAAGCCTAATCCCTACTAAACCCCCATTGGCTAAAACCCCTTTTGGCCCCCTATGACAATACTCGAGAGTTATAAGTACCATAATCCCAATTAGGGTCCCTGTTAGGGTATTTAAAACTCTACTTACTCCCTACTTACTAAGTTCCCCGACCCTCCAAGTGGGGAGCCTTCTTCCTCCGAATCAGTGTCCGGCTCCCAGAACTCCCAGGCTTTGTAGTTGATGTTGCGGCTCCTCTAAGTTTCAGCTTCGGGGCACTGAGCTTCGGGGCTTAAGGCTTTAGGTCTGAGGGTCCAGCAGTTTGGGGTTTAGGGTTTGGAGTTGAGGGTTCAGGATTAAGCTTTACGGTTGATGATATAAATCCTGCACTACCTTAAGGACCATAGACTATGGGAGTTATGGTGTATTCTTTATTATGGGTCATGCAGGATTATATCATCAACAGACGTACCTAATAGTCATATACTCTCCAAAATCCGAACCTACATAACTACTATCCTAAAACCGAGTACCGAATTATTGGGTCCTTTGGACCCTTGGGGTAAGGTTTAGGGATTAGTGGTTTAGGGGTTTAGGGGTTGGGGTTTAGGGCTTGGTTCTTTAGGAGCCCTGAATGTTGGCAGCCTGCCACACTCCGTGCTAAAGGGTCCATATGTACTACAACTACGGAATTAGGTCCTAAGAGGCCATCCTTATTATGGCTTTGGGGACCTAATTCCACAAACAAAGTAGTATTTATGGGTCCTCTTACTGGGGCACGTGGATTTGTAAGCAGGGGTGTACGTCAAACCCTGTTACTTCCGGGAACGAAAGTCCAGAAGCCAGACCTGCTCTTCGACCAAAGCACCACACAAGGCGGATTTGGGGTTCAGAAATTCAGGATTTAATTTAGGGTTTAGAGATCTCTCCGCATACAGTATCTCATGTCCCATTTGTCAGTAATGACATTTGAAATCGCTGAAGAAGATCGCGGCACGGCCACATTTAGATGGGGCCCAAAGTTGATTGAATCGGGTGCCCAAGCGGGCCTGGCATTTAGGGTTTAGGGTTTAGGGTTTAGGGTTTGCTCTTGCACACATGGCGTTTCAGGTCGGCTCGTGCACATCAGTACAGGCGGTTCTTTGTGGCAGTTGCGGGCTACACCCAAACCTCTTCAGGACCGTGCCTGCACTTGAGACTTACACGCTTTAGCTTCGGAAACCATCGCACTCCAAGCTTTACAACCTTTAGCTTGAGCTGCCTTCAGCCCGAAATCTAGTGAAGCCGGCTGAAGGAGCCAGGGCTTGGGGTTCGGGAGGTATGGTACATGTGCTGTTTGGTTTAGGCTTCGGGGCCTAGTGGGAGTGTTTCGGACGTTTGGGGTGTGAGGCTGCTGGAAACTGCTGCAGTGGATATTTGTGGGGGGTCTAGCGCGTGGGAGGGCGCGTTCCTACACCCCAACCAGAAACAAGCCTTAGACACTGATATCCTGGGCCTCTGAACTACACCCCTAGGCCCAAAACCCATCCGCAATGCCTAAAACCTAAACCGTTCTGAACCCCTCCAAAAAAACTTAAACTTTCAGACTCCTTATTACAGTTAAAGGCCCAAAAAGTTAAAGTCCTAAGAGCCAGCCAGCAGAACACAAAGCCTAAACCTTCATCCTGAACCCTCAACTTTAACTCCAAAGCCCGAAACCCTAAACCCTGAATCCTACGGCTGATGAGATAAATCCTGCATTAACCATAACAAGGAATAAACGAAAAAATCCCACAGTTTAGGGTCCTTAAGGTAATGCAGGATTTATATCATCAACCGTAAAGCTTAATCCTGAACCCTCAACTCCAAACCCTAAACCCTAAACCCTAATCCAAACCCACCGTTTCTCCTGCCAAGGAGGGTCTGAGACTTCTTCCAGCGATTCCACTTGTCTTTCCCTGGGGGAAATATCGGGTTCCTTAGGGTTCCTTTAAAGGGTTACTATAAGGGTTCCTTTAAAGAGGTCTATAAGGGTTTAGGGTTTAGAGTTTCCGAAAATTAGGGTACCTTATCTTGGGGTCCTTATTTTTAGGATCCTATGGTTTAGGCTACTATATTTGGGTCCCCTATATTCGGAAACTCCCATCTAGGTTTCAGAGTGTAATACTTGGATTGTCGGGTGACTTCCAAAGTCGTTATTTTATAGTTGTAAGTACCACAATCCCACTTAGCATCGCATAACTCTACCTCTCACAAGCAGCCCGGTGTCTTTGCCGGGGTGTTTATGTGGATACTATTGCTTTGGGGATGATTAAGGGGTACTATTGCTTTGGGGATGCTTCGGGGTTTAACGTGGGTCTTTGTTGGGGCTTTTGTATGGATACGAACCTTTTGGGATGTTTTGGGGCTTTATGGCCAGGGTTCGTTGATTTATCAAGTTCCTACATTATGGCTGAGGCGTTTGGGTATGTGTGCTGGATATGCTGATTCTGGGAGGAGGGCTGCCGGCTCAGGTTTGTGGACTTTCAGGGTCAGGGTTCCGGGTGTAGGTTTTCTGAACCCGAAACCCTAAACCGTCAACCCTAAACCCTTAAACTCCAAAAGGTTATCCCAGTGGACTCCTAACCTCAAGACCTTTTTGGACCCCCTTCAACAGGCCATCCTTCGAGTGGGGACTTAAGGTACAGGGCCTACATATGGGAGTTTCCGAGAACTAGGGGTACCTTCTTTTGGGGTCCTTGTAATAAGATTCCTACTGCTGAAGGTACTATATCAGGGTCCCCTGTTTTCGGACACTCCCATGGGTTCACTCACTGGCTTCGGGCTTTCGGTAGGTAAGGCCCTAACCCTCAACATCCTTAAGCCTGGAGCTCGGAAGCGTCATTCCTAAACCCTTGTGGAAAGCTTTGAACCGGCATATAGTGCATTTTACTTTACGGATCTTACTCGTTAACCCACAAAACCTAAACCCCTCAACTCTAAACCCAATATTTCCTTAACCCAAACCCTGAGCCCATAAACCCCCAAACCCTAAACCCTTTAAGAAACCTTAAGAATTCATTCATAATGCCCGTATTGGACCCAAAACCCTAAACCCCTAAACCCTCAAACCGTACAGTGAGCCCCAGAAAGTTGGAACATGGGTTTAGCTGGATTTGTGCCAGGATCCTTTGCACTTTACCTTAAAGGCATGTCTATATTTTTAAGTTCCAACTTTCTGGCTTCATCCTAAACCCTAAATCCCTCAAACCCTAAACCCATCTAAACCCCTAAACCTTGCTCAACCCTCCAGGATCTTTTCAGCTGCAGCGGCTCCACTTGTGCTTTGCCTTGGTCTCCTTGAAGTCCTCCAGCTTTCCTTGCCACGGAAAAAGGGCACACCAACCAACGCCGCTCAATTCCAGGGTTGCTTGCGTTTTCATAGGCTTTCGAAGCGGCTTGGACAGGCTCCCTAGGCGCGCTAAACCCTGAATTTTGGGGTTGAGTGCTTGCTGCAAAGGATCCTAATAACTTCCATTGGATACAGAGCCTTCGGGTCTCAAACATCCGAATTTCGCGCGCCCAAAAAGTGTTCATATATTACGGCGTTTGGGCCCAAAGACCATACTGTATAAGGCTTTTGGGATGTTTTTTGAGCCTCAGGGACATTGGGATAGTGTTGAGGGTTTATGGTTCTGGTTTAGGGTTCAAGTTTAGGCCTATAAGGCCTAGGGCCTTAGGGTTCAGGGCTTGGTACGGGATCCTGTGTTCAGATTAAGGCTTCTGGCCGGGCGTAGGCTTAAGTTCCACTTTATCCAGCAAAAGACAGCGTTTCATGAAAGGATACACCGGATATACCGGAAACGATAACACCGTAGCTATTGAGACCCTCCTACAATTTTGGGCCTACGTCTTGGCCTTTTGGGCTCGCTTTGTTGTGTAGGAAAGCCTTGCTCTTGGGCCAGACATTGAGGTTTGAGCATCCCCGCCCCACCCCCTACCCCCGCCGCCCGACAGTGACAGGATTTAAGGTCTGTTGAGACCGAACCCACGCCAACCGCTAAACAGTAAGCCCTTAAACCCTAAACCCTGAACCCTAAACCCTGAACCCTTAAAACCTGAACCCTTAAACCCTAAACCCAAACCCCTTAAACCCTAAACCCGAAACCCTAAACCCTGAACCCTCAAGCCTAAACCGTCAGCCCGAGAGGATAAAGAGCCGAGGCTGGGTTTAGGGTTTAGGTTCTAGGGTTTAGGGCGTAGAGTGTGGGGTTTAGAGTTTAGGGTTTAAGGTTTAGATTCTGGGCTTAGAGTTTAGGGTTTAGGGTATTGATGGGACTTATGACCTTACTTCAAAAACTACTGACGACGTCCCCAACGCTCTCTGGTGAACCTCAGAACTTAGGATGATTCCGCAGTGCGGAGATTCCCCATACTGTTACCCTCACGGTCTGAAATTTCAAGAGCCCCCAAATTATCCATAATTGGGGACCTATCTTAAACAATAAGGGAAACTAAAATTATCCCCAATCCCATAAACCCTAAACCCTAAACCCGAAAACCGAAACTCTCTCAGAAATCCAAGAGGCCCAGGAGTTCGGCCCACCGCTCCTGTCGTTTAGGGCTCAAGGGGTTTAGGGCTTCAGGCTTAGGGCCTCTAGGGTTTAGGGTTTAGGGTTTTTTTTTAAGTTGAACTGCACCCTTTCTCCGAAAAAGCGCTGGCATTTTGCCCTCAACTGGGTGAAACATCCACCAAACTCGTAGTCGTCGTAGAAGGAGTATCCACCCCTAGGAGATCAGCCACACCCAAAGGGGACAACACCGACGTAGGATCACCCAGTGTTCCAGACCCCGACAGGGTTTAGGGTTTAGGGTTTTGGGTTTAGGGTTTAGGGTTTTGGGTTTAGGGTTTTGGGTTTAGGGTTTAGGGTTTTGGGTTTGGGGTTTGGGGTTTGGGGTTTAGGGTTTAGGGGGTTTAGGGTTTAGGGCAAAGGACTCAGGGGGTTTAGGGTTGAGGTTTTCGGTGGTTTTGAGGGCTCTTGAAGCAGTTCGTGATGGGATTTGTTGGTGGCTTTTGCAGGTCTACGAGGTCTACGGTGGAGGGTGGTGGCTTTGAGGCCGGCAGGGGCTTCGGAATTCACAGTTTAGAGTTGAGGGGTCTTATGTTTTGCTTGGGGGCTTTTGAGTTTGTAGGGTTGAGGGATTTCGGTTGCTGGGATAAACCCAACGGATCATGCCGGCTTTTGGACCTGCAACACTAGGATTCCTCCATTAAACTCGAAAGTGGCGCGAGCAGCCTGCCTAGGGCTTAGAAAGTGATTTGGGGTTCAGGGTTGGGGATTTACTACAGGTCTTACGTACCCCCTTCATCCTCCGACCTACAAGCCCTAGCAAACAGACCGGTGTGGACTTGGAGGTTTAAGGCTTAAGGTTAGGCTATGATGTACATAATCCGGTAACAGCTTCAATCCATGGTATGTCCTTGAGCTGAGTTTCTCAAATCAACCCCAATCAATGACCAATCAATGCCTGAAATCTGCTGGATTAGCACACAGTTCCGGAGCGATGGGCTTGATATAATATTTGGTGAGTTTCAAGTTTAAGGGTTAGGGTCGGTACTGGGAGTCGATGGGCCTAGGAAATATGAGACCTCGGGTTGCGTTTAGGGCGTCTGGGTTTGCATCAAAACTTACTCGTTCGTTCTGCTTATGCTCATGCGGCACATTGCCGGTGTGATAATGCTCACCGTAATCAAACCCTTAACCCTGGGCACTTATTTCATTCACGGCAGCCTCTATTTTGATTTGCATCTGGCCAATACAGCGATCGAAACCTGCAGCCCGAACGAAAGCCTTAAACAACACCCTCGCGCCTCTTGGGACATCATCTTGTCAGACTGCCCGCAGCGAGTACACTTGCCTGTGTCTGCCCGCTCATGGCGCTTTGGTGGGCTAGGGCTTGAGGGTCTCGAGCACGACTCCTAAATCCTGTAAAGTATACCCTGTCCTCAGACCCTAAACCCGAAAACTGCAATCTGGCATAAAACTACGCTTCCCCAAATCACGATAGTCATTCCTAAACAAGAGTAACCCTACATTCCACCATATAGGTACTTCGGACTCTTTTGGGTCATGAGTGCCATCAGACCTTGATACTTTCACGCTTGCTTAGTGGGTTTGTATCGGTACCGTCCCACCTCTTTGAGCGCTTTGTGGGCTCAACAAACGGGGTCTACCTTGCTTACAGGATCATGGGCCTTAGTAACTTGAGGTACGAACAAGGTAATCATGGTATTATCTGTATGACTACTGTAAACTTTACAGTAAACCCTGATTCTGGTACTTATGTCCTTACTTACTAAATCCCATGACCCCAAAAGGAAACAAAGATCCCAGCCTTCAGGCAAATCGATGTAGTACTCGACGAAGCATCTCTTGCACCACCACTTGTACTTCTTGCCTGCACCGACTGGGAAGTAGGGTCTAGTATTCAAAGGTAAACGGAGGGACCCTTAATAAGGACCTCTAGGTGTATACCCTTAATATAGCTATGATATACCCATGATATAGCCCATTATAGGATAGGGGTCCCCATTAAGGGTCCCTCCTTTTCCCCTTTGATAGTAGGGACGCAGCGAGGTCCATCGGGGGACCCCTCAACCTATAGGGTCTACTTAAAGGATCATGGGACTTAGTAACTAGGGTTTTTTTTTTAAGTGCACTTCTTGGCTTTAGGGGGTAGGGCTTACCTAAAGGATCATGGGACTTAGCAACTAGGGTTATAGTTAGGGTAACTATACTTATAACCCCAATGAAGGTACTTATACCCTTACTTACTAAGTCCCATGATCCTCCAAGTAGGGTTTTGGTTTATGCGGGTAAGGGAGGTAAATCAGTGAACCGCTGAACCGAACCCCAAACCCTAAAGCCCTGGACCCTGAAACCCTAAAGCCAGGATGCTCCAAACCCTTAACCCTGTTGGAACAAAGACAAGTTCTCAGAAGGACCACGGTCCGGCCCTGTGTATCCTTGTGGCTCAGGCCAACAGCTCAACAAGCTTTATACATGGGCTGCAAGGGGTTGGGTTTGAGGTTTAGGGTTTACCATAAGGGTCCTAACACTTCCGGGAACCTGAGATCCCAAAGAGACCCAAGGACTCTCCCTAGGAGATTCCGGACCCTCCTAAGGAGATACCCGGACCCTTAGGGTAGGCGGTACTTGGAGGGTCGGGGGACTTAGTAAGTAGATAATAAGTAGAGTTATAAGTACCCTAAAAGGGATCCTAATTGGGGTTATGGTACTTATAAGTCCCTAAAATAACCAGTTACTAAGTCCCCCGACCCTCCAAGTAGGGCTTACCGCACACCCGGAACACGGACGGACTGCTTGACCGAGGCTTTCAGACCGCAGGTTTCGGCACAGCCTAGCTTAACCTACCAAAACCTACTTTTTTGTAGGCTGCTATGATAAATCCTATTATGGAAATTACAGGGACCCTACAAAAAAGTAGGTTCTGGTGGGTTAAGGTACCCAAAGGAAATCATGAAGAAAGGTTCTGCAGTAGCCCCCTTCAAAGATTACTGTTGTTGTTACTGATACTACCATTACTAGTAGAATTTTCTTGTCCATATCATTCATCACTATCAGTGTTATGAATACTCCGAATGAGACTAATTACTATTTCTCCTACCACTCGGTTGCAAGAAGGAGCCCCCAAAATGAACAGTGCAAAAAGGTAAAGCATCTTTCGTAAGAAAGAATCCCGAAAAGGTAGTTTTCTAGGGTTCAGGTAGGTTTGACCGCCTTGGCAACTGGGTGCTGGGATGTGGGCTCAGAGTGGTGTAGGGCTTATATAGAGTTTTAGGGTGAAGATGGTTCGGGTTTAGGGGGTGTGCAGCTTAGAACTGAAAGGTTCAGGGATTGGGGCCAGAGTAGTTGCCTCTGGTGCTCTCATTCGGACCTTGACTACGGGTCAGTCAAGCATCAAAGCCCTAGCACCATTTCGTTGCGCAGCCCTTTTTACACCCTATACACAACCCTTCAACAATCAATATGTAAAGCCCCTCTCATAGTACACATCACACACACACACACACACAAAATAATTCGCCTCAAGTCGAGATCCTGAGCTCAACCTCAATCACGAGATACAGAGCCTGCCCCCAGGACCTGCACAAAGATAAGTCATCAGCACCAACGCCCAGGGGGTTTGGGGTTAAAGGTTTATAGGGCCCGTGAACCTTCAAACTGTGAACCGTGCAGTACTGCAGTAGACAAAGTAAGCACTGCGCGCATGACCCTGCCTTAAACAGCGGCGCCAAGAAACGAAGCCTTTGAAATTTTAGGATAGACCACATACAAAAGGCCAAAACCTTTGAAGTTCTCCCAGTAGCTATCTAAGCTAAAGCCTAGCCGTATTCGCCCAGCCTTCGCCCTTGCCTTCGACGCCATTCAAGAGATACTTCCACCTCGAGAGCATGGCTTTGTACTTCGGGGCAACAGTTTGGGGCTTTCGGGGGTTGTGGGGCTCTGGGGTTTATGGTTTTGGGCTTAGGGTTTTTGGGGGATTCAAGGGGTTTTGGGGCTTTAATGTTTAGGGCTTTCGGAGGCTTGATCAAAGTGTGAAATACCTGGGTGTTTTAGAGGTTGGGGCTCTACTGCTGCAAGTGTATACTTGCGCTCCCATTCTCCTCCAAAATGCAGGATCCATGCATGTCAGTCAGTAGTCAGGTACCGACGTGTAGCACCTGAAGTGTATACTGACTAGTAGCCCGAGTGACCCTAAGCCCCAAACCCTCCCCTAGAGCGCCCAAACCCATTCAAAACCCAGATATGAGCCGGTAAGCATTCCCTAAAGCTTACCTAAACCCTAAACCCTAAACAAAGCTAGACTCGAAACCCTAAAATACTGTTGATGATACAAATCCTGCATTACCCATAATAAGGAATATACCATAATTCCCATAGCCTATGGGCCTTAAGGTCGTGCAGGATATATATCATCAACCGTATCTCGAAGGCCTGAGCCCCTACATCGCAAACGAGCTCAATGAATGTGAACCCTAAACCCCCAAAGATGCTAAACCATGAACTCTTCACCCTATAATCCAAGGGCAAAAGGAGGGACCCTTAATAAGGACCCCTAGGTATATGCCCTTAATATAGCTATTAAATACCCATTATATAGCCCATTATAGGGTAGGGGTCCCCATTAAGGGTCCCTCCTTTTCCCCTTTGATAAGACAACCCCAAACCCTAAAATCGTAAGAACCTTCGACCCCCTCGAGGGAAACCCGGAAAAGACTCCCGATGTTAAGTAAACACCAAGCCCTCAACCTCAAAACCGCTGCACCCTGATCCCCAAACCCTAAGCCACCGAACCGTAAACCCCCAGCCCTAAACCCTACCTAGGATACCCAGTAACCTAAGAATAAAAAGGCCTCTCTTTTTGGTATTGGGTAACTTTATAAGGAACCTAGGACTACAAAAAAGGAATAAGGGTACTACTGGGCATCCTAGCTACTATACTATCTAGGAAGGCCCCTCCACCAGGTGCGACATTTATCGACGTCTAGAAGGCCTTAGCAGGAACCCTAGACTAACTCTAAGGGCCCTCACGAGAAAACCAGGGACCTTAAATCACCTTAAAAAATGTAGAAGGGATCCTGGTCGTAATTTAAACTATATTCCTTAATCCCTCCAATAACTATGTAACTATGACATTTTATAGACACCCTTAAACGGAACGCTCTACCAAGGATGAACGGCCGTAACAAAAAATGAACTCCGCCGGGCCACCGTCGCTCCTCGGCCTCCTCCTTGCGTATCTGCTTGGCTCGATCCTGATGCCACAGGGACCAAACCCAAATCAACACGGTTCAGGGTTCAGGGCTTAGGGTTTAGTTTAAAGCCCTGAGCCCTAAATATCCGGACTCTTCGCGCTTTTGAAGCGTAGGGTTTAGGGCTTAGGGCTTTGAGGTTTAGGGTTTTTTAGGGTTTTGGGTTTAGAGTCGAAAGGGATCCGAAAAGGGATAACAAAGTCAACGATGGTAGGGTTATATAAACTCGAAAAAAGTGAAGTGTTACCTCTTCACCTACGGAGGATGGATTCCGGGCATTTGAGGTTCAAGGTTTACGCTTGAAACTCTGAGGTTTACGTTTCGGTTCGGGTTTCATATCTGCCACCGTCAGAAGACCATCAGGGTTTCAGGGTTTAGGGATTTAGGGTTAGGGCAGAGTTCAGCGCTGAAGTTTAGGGGCTCCATTGTAGTTCCCTTTTGGGGTTACCTTATAGGATCCATAATCTATAATTGGTTGAACCACAACAAGGAACTACAATGGAGACTATAGGTAGGGTTCAAGGAACGCTCGGAGTTTTACGGATGTCCAAGTTCCCAGTTCTGCCTTACAGTAAACCCCATAAAGTTGGAAGCCGGATTAAGGCCAAATGGAGCTGGGATTCCGTTTACATTACTCTTAAGGATTGAGGCTATTGGGTTTCCAACTTTTGGGCTTCTACTGTATTTCCTGGCACTCTGCCTTGGAAACGGAGACCCCGTCACCAAAAGCAGAAGGGTACTACTGGGCGACCTAGGTTAGGTATGAGAGGGCATGGGTACCATGGTTTTCGGTTTAGGCTCTAGGAGTGAGGCTGTACGGCTTCTTACTGTTGGGTTTTGGTTTGATTGAAAGGATGTTTGAGGATTGTAGGCTTGTTGAGCACTATAGAGGTGCAGGGTTGAGAGTTTAGGAGTTTAGTGTCCACCGAAATTGAACCCGAAACTATTTTTGATTGTAGCATCCGCTGGAAAGCCTGATAGTCCAGTCAAGCCTTCTGTTTCCCCGATGGGTTTGAGGTTTTAGGGATTGGGCTTTAGGGCTTGAGGGTTGTAGGGCTTTTACATCGGGCTTACAGTTCGGGGTTTCGGGTCTAGCGTTTTAGGGTTTATCGTCAAAGTGTCACTCCCACCAGCTCCGCAAGAGTCTTCTCCGTCGTCCGTCAGATGGCAAGCTTCGGGCTGTCTGGGTACTTCCAGGAGTAATTCGGCGAAAAGGTTTGGGACTGTAGGGACCCCAAAACGCACATAAGGCAAAATAAGGACAAGGATATCCCATATAAACCCCCCTATAATGAAGCTCAATAAGGTACGGATATCCCTCTATAATGCTTCTGCTTATGTGCTGCTTTGGGTCCCTAAGACCTGGGTCCTGTGACCACGTCTCGGCTTCACGACGTGGACATCACTTGGAGGGTCGGGGCACTTAGTAAGTAGAGTAATAAGTACCCTAAAAGGGACCTTAATTGGGGTTATTGTACTTACAACTCTATAAAATCACTACTTAGTAAGTCCCCCGACCCTCCAAGCAAGGTTTGCAAGCCCAGACAGTCGGTCCACCGCGAATCTGTGCTGGGATAGCCCTACCCAGAGGCCCCAAAGTAGTTCCTGTTTGGGATGGCCTTACAGGGTTCTAAAAATATGAACCTCCAAAAGGAACTACTATGCGGCGTATGGTTGTTCAAACCCTGAAGCCTAAACCCTACACAGGATACTTAAAGTCTTCGCCAGAACTACCTGTGACCGGGCAGCTAAACCTCAGGAGCCAACTCTGTATGCACGCACTATAACCCCAATATGTAAACCCTACCTTGTCCGGGAACTGAGTCCTCCAAACTCTGAGAGCTCTCCTTAATTCATAAACCCGCCACCTCTGTTCGGAATGATGGTATCGGAATGATGGTAATTAGACGCTTAGACGCAAGAGAAAGGATCTGATACACCCCAAAACCCCCTAAGGGTCCTAACAAATTGGGGAACCTCAAAATGCAGGGTTTCTGAGACCCCAAAGAGACCCAAGGACTCTCCCTAGGAGATTCCGGACCCTCCTGAGGAGACACCTGGACCCTTAGGGTAGACTTCTACGGAATCGGGGACTTGCAAAGACGCTCCGCGCACCTTGAGGGCCAACTGCTTGTCAAAGGCGTCGAAGTCAGTGATGGTACCTTCGGCTTATCGTTTCCTCAGAGGGTCCAAGTACCCAATAGTAGGGTTTCAGGTCCCACAATCCATACTCTGAGTGGTTTTTGGACCTTGAAACCCTGCTATTTGGGTACTTGGACCCTTAGGGTTCGTGCTTTTGGAGATCACTCCGTTTTGTGTGCTGGGGGTCAGCCTTTGCGAGAGTACAAGGCCATACAAGGCTTGTGGCTTTTAGTTTAGTAGAAGCCCCTTACAGGTGGGTAGTTCTTCTTCCATAGTACTCCCATAAGACCCCCTTTACCTTATAGGAGTGGTAACCTAATAACTACCCAACTGTAGATGGCTTAGGTTTAGGCTTCGATGTCAGTGTATGGCAGGAGTCTGGAATAAGGCATCATTTTCGGCTCGAAGCCCAAATCCCAAATAGGTTGAGGCACTAAACCGCAAACCCGGGAAACGCAAAAGCAAAGAACCCACATACCTTGCGTACTGCCACCATACAGTAAGAGTCTACAATAAGGCTACGATTAAAGGCCTACTATATCGATATTATAAGAATATTCAAACGCCCACCATTTTAAGTATACCTTAAATCATATTAAAGATCCTACTATAGTTTACGTATATCCCTTAATCAAGACATATATTGGAGTCTCTGGGTATAGACAAACCTTTGAAACAGCGCAGTGCGCGCAGGTTTTAGGGCCTATATACCTGCGGCCTCAAAAACCTACGTTCCTAGGCCTACGTGGTGTAGTTTGTTGTTTCTTATCCGAGAACCTTAAGTGCTACAAAAACCCATGGCCTCTAACTGTACAGTGATTATCACGGGAACATCTTGCTAACTATTCAGGACCTCCGTTGTTCTTGTTCGGAGGGTCGATGGTGTGGAGGTTCACTGATTCCGAGCCATCAAAGCTTTTTTTGCTGCTGTGTGTTGAGGGTTCAAAGTCTCGGAATTCTTTGGAGCTTACGGATTAGGGCCTACTTGGCGGGTATCATGGGGAACTACAGGTTAACCTTTTTGGTTATACAGGGGTGATTTAGGGGCTATACTACCCAAAAAAGGGTAAAGGTCTCTTACTCTACTACTAGGAGAGTCTATGTGTTCTTCTGCTTGGTGTTCTGTTATTTCGCCCGGGTGCCGTCAATGATGCCGCGAATCTGAGCGGTGACCTCATCCACCTCGTTGGACCATTCTTCAATGTCCTCGCTGCTTCTGGGGACTAGCTTCAGCCATGAAAGGCTTAGGTTTGCTATAGGATCTCCTAAACCCTATATACTCTAAGCCCAAGTTCTCCCATTGGCTAAATAAGTAAGTAAGTATATACATCCATGGCTTGGTTTGCTACAAGATCTCCTAAACCCTAGACCCTATAAACCCTAAACCCTATATAAATCCTTCGTGGCATTCCCCTTGGGGACGTTCTTGACCAGCTCTTCCATAGGAGCCATGGCAGAAGGCGGGCCAGGGTCACAGCCAAATGGAAACCGTCGGCTAACAAACTTCGGCTCCTGGGGCTTAGTGTTTAGGGCTTAGGGTAGTTGTAGGATTGAGGGTACGTACACTCTTTGTCCAACGAGTTACATGTGCTGTAGGCTCTTTGGTGATGTTATGGACTTGTTCGGATAGCTTGAAGACGGCTTTCAGGTTTCGGAAGCCGTGACCCTGACACAATCTGTGGAAGCGGCTCGAGAGACAAAAAAACCTCCGGGCAGGCAATGACTCCTGTGGTGAATTTGCGGTTGGAGTTTAGGGCGTCTTATGTCAGCACTATTGACAGAGAATGACTGTACATGGGAGTATCATACCAGGGGTTTTTAGAGCTAAGGATGGAGGTCTTGGTACCCAAGCCCGCCCGAACTTCCTTCAGTGTGTTTTGCGGATGCCCAAAAGTATCCGAATCCTAGTATACCCTAAACCCTAAAGCGTAGTATTCCGTGTCAACCCTAAACCCTGACCTCCAAACCCTATAAACCCTGTTGGCATCATCTTTCCCTCGTGAAGAAATGAGCACTGGGCCACTTCTTAGAGACTCTGATACTCCTTCGTTCAGAGTATGTATCGGGTTGAGGGTTCAGGGCTCAGGGTTTAGGAACCCCAAACCCTTAAAACCTAAGTTCCCTAAAGGGTCCTAAGAACCTCTTACAGCAGACAGTACAGGGTTTCTATTGTAGGATTTACTAGTACCTGGACCCTAAGGAACCTACCTTTTTTAGGGTTCCCTAGTATGATTTCTTTATGTAAGTCCTTAAAAAGGTAGGTCACTTGGGGTTAAGGTATGGCTTGGGTAAATATCCCCCGGAGAGGTACTGCGGACCATTTGGGTTCCTTGCCCTAAGGGTCCTAACAAATTGGGGAACCTCAAAATGCAGGGTTTCTGAGACCCCAAAGAGACGCAAGGACTCTCCCTAGGAGATTCCGGACCCTCTTAAGGAGATACCTGGACCCTTAGGGTAGAACCAGGGGTGCCCAACTTCCTACTCTTCGGTCACAGGACGAGGACACCATGAGGGCACTGCTTCAGGACCGAAGTAGGCTTCGTAGTGTCGATCGTTAGAATAGACGGATCTTTATCATTGGAGCTTTTCGGAGATATTTTCTGTAATTTTCCTTAGTTAAGGAACCCGAAGGCTCCAAGGACTCATACATTACGGCTTCTGGGCCCAAAGACCATACTACATAAGGCTGTTGGGCTATTTTGAGCCTCAGGGGAACGGTATTGGTTTTCATGTCTGCCTATGGTTCAGCTTCAGGCGCAAACCCAAAGCTAGTTGAACAGGGTAGTTCCTTGGGAACCTCGCCAATATCAAAGGGAAAAGGAGGACCCTTAATGGGGACCCCTAGCCTATAATGGGCTATGTAATGGGTATATAATAGCTTAGATATTAAGGGTATATACCTAGGGGTCCTTACCAAGGGTCCCTCCTTTTACCCTTGGACAATATGGAGGCCTTTTTGGGGGGGCAGACGTCATGTTTGGATTTACTTAGTTGCTGAGTTCATAAGCCCCCCAAAGTGTACACTTTCAGTTTTATAGTTGGTAATACTATCCCAAAAAGTGTAAAGTGCATCCACTCAGCTACTAAGAATGTGGAGGCTACTTTTGGGGCTCAGACGTCAGTTTTGGATTTAAGAGTTGAAGGTGACCCTAAGGCCCGACATCGCAGACCAAACCCAATAACATCCTCCTGATGCATACCCTGAGGGTCCAGGTATCTCCTTAGGAGGGTCCGGAATGTCCTAGGGAGAGCGCTTGGGCCTCTTTTGGGTCTCAGAAACTCTCAATTTCGGGGTTCCCCAATGTGTTAGGACGCTTAGGGTATAGGCTGAATTCTGCAGTCCGATATTTCGGCGCCTCACTTCGCCACTCAAACTGTACGCACTCTCGCCACGGTTGTGCAAGGGCTTCGATCTGCACATCAACGACCCCAAACCCTAAACTCCATAATTTATCACTAGCCACCCTGGCATTGCTTTCGTAGGGTAGACCGACACTCTCCAACAGCGCCCCAAATCTGCGCTTAACAAACTATCTTCACAAACGTCTTTTAATCACAAACCTTACGTCCCAAAACTCCTAGAAGCTAACCCTTCCTGTACAAAGGCTCGCGGTGTGGGCCATGGCAGCTGCACATTCTGCACCCGCCGCTTGGCATCAACACCCCGGGACAAAAGAGTCTGACTTCCTTGAGTTGAAATCAACAGGAAAGGGGCCGTAATAAGTAGACAAGAGTTCCTGTCCGGGTTTCTAACAGACAAGAAAAACAGGACTTGAAGGACTATATAAAGCTTGTAGGTATTATGGTATAGCGGCCTTAATCGTGAGAATAGGGTATTGGGGTATATTGAAGCATTTTCTGACATGAAGCAGCGGATGGCACTGTAGATTACCCTGCACTATTATATACTACAGTGTGGCAAGAATACAACCTTCTGGATGTGGGCTTCATTTAAGCTTTCTAGAGGGGTCCTCGAAATTTCGCGGCATCCTCTGCGCCTGTGTCGTGGAGATCCCTATACTGGGAGAAACCATTAGTTCATCCAAACAAGCAAAGAGGCAATCCAGTATCTACGAGCCTGATAGGCCAGACTATACGGTACGTAGGACCTTTAGGGTCCATTTGGCGTTGGCGTGTTTCTGTAGATACAGAGTTTGGAAATTAAAAACACCCTAAAGGTCCATGCCACATACTATAAGCACGGCTTAGTATACTATACTGAAGATAGAACCCTAGCAAAAATTATGATTTTAGCTGTGGTTAAGGATTATAATAACCCAAGATTACAAACAAATATTTCCAAGTACCCCTAAGTATAGGGCCCGGATTCGAAGCTCATCTCGGAGCCGTCTCCCTGTCCCGCTCAGCTGGAGCAGGCTAGTCAGGCTGGTTGCAGACCTGAGCGATCATTTTCTAGATTCCGTGAAGGATACTTGTAGGGTTTTGCTCATGTTCTAGATTCCGTGAAGGATACTTGTAATTTCTTGCTCCTTGGTTTCACAAGTGTTCATTTAAAGGCTTCTTTAGGGGTTCTTTCGGTACTGTAAGGGGCTGGATAAGAGCGCACTTGTATGCGCTTTTGGCCTCAATTCGTCCAACTCGCTGTCATCATTCAGGTCTATGTTCCTTGAACCCCCTAGCCCGTAGAGTGCAACCATTCTGCACACTGTGGGTATACCCTAAACCTTAATTAAGCCCGTTACATTGGCGAGTTCGAGTTTGTTGTTTTTCAACCCTCCTACTTTCCGTTCTACCGACCGAAACTTGCCGAAAGTCACCTTAGAACCGACCTTCTAGGAGCCTTACGAAACAAAGAGGTTGGGTAGGTTAGGGTGGGCCCTAGGATTTGAACTCGGGCTTAGTGTTGATTTTGCTAAACTACCCATCTACCCCTAAACCCCTAAAGGACCCTTAAAAGGACGACCTGTAACAGGACCCCGTTAAGGGACTCCTAGAGGATCTTAAAAAGAACCCTAAGCCTTAAACCCTCACCCCAAGGCAGTACACCGCATCCCTTTAAGGGATCTACAGGATTTTTATTTGAAGCAGTCCTAAAACCTTAAACCCTAGTCCCTAAACGCTAAACCCCCCCCTTGAAGGACCCCTCACCCAAGGGTACTAACACTTTAGTGAACCTCAACATTGAGGGTTTCTGAGAGCCTAAAGAGGCTCTCCCTGGGACATTCCGGACCCTTTTAAGGAGATACCTGGGCCCTTAGGGTAGGTCCTAAACCCCAAAACCCTCAACCCTACTCCCTGAACCCCAAACCCTAAACCCTAATCCCTAATCCCCAAACCCTAATCCCTGAACCCCAAACCTTAATCCCTAAACCCTAAACCCTAATCCCTACACCCCCCCTTGGAGGACCCCTCGAACCCCAACCCGGGCCCCGGCCAGCTTCAGCAAGCGCGGCGTGCGAAAGACACGGAAGCCTTTCGAGGTCGGCAGGAGCGGGTAGACATCCTGCGGCCGTTGCTGTTTTTAGGCTAGGGTTTAGGGCTTTAGGGGTTTAGGGGTTTAGGGCTTGCGGTTTAGGGTTTTAGGGTTTAGGGCTTTAGGGGTTTAGGGGTTTAGGGCTTAGGGTTTTAGGGTTTAGGGCTTTAGGGGTTTAGGGGTTTAGGGCTTGCGGTTTAGGGTTTTAGGGTTTAGGGCTTTAGGGGTTTAGGGGTTTAGGGCTTAGGGTTTTAGGGTTTAGGGCTTTAGGGGTTTAGGGGTTTAGGGCTTGCGGTTTAGGGTTTTAGGGTTTAGGGCTTTAGGGGTTTAGGGGTTTAGGGCGGTTTAGGGTTTTAGGGTTTAGGGTTTAGGGGTTTAGGGGTTTAGGGTTTGCGGTTTAGGGTTTTAGGGTTTAGGGGTGGAGGGGTTTGGGGTTTCATGGCGTAGGGTTTTTTTGTAGGGTCGATGACTGAAGTAGGTGCCATCTGAAGTTTGGAATATGTCAGCTGAAACACTGCTTTGTACGGCTGCTGCGGCTGCTGGGATCCTGCAGGTCGCTACCATCTTAGTTAGTAGGTTATACCTGTAACTTACAACCGGAGTTACAAGTAGCATGACTCCGTTCTGAATACTTGCATCTCTACTTGGGTACGGCCCCCACTCTCAGTAATAGTAATAGTTGAAAATATTCACAATATAGATATTTTAGGACCTTAATAGTAGCCCTATTATAGACTCTTACTGTATGGGGGCAGTACCTAAGTCTCTACACTCTACAGCTCTACATGGCTGTAACCTCCGTGGCTCTGAGCTTCCCGAGGCCTACACAACCAAAATCTGCTCCCACACACTCCCAGAAAGGTTACCTTAGAAGGGGCCCCCACCCTGTAATAGTGGTATTATAGGAATATAATAGGGCCCTAATACAATCCTTATAAAAATCACTATTACAGGGTGGGGGCCCCTTCTAAAGGCCCTAAACCCGAAAATGCTAGGCCCTACTCCCCAAATCATGCTC